GGAGGTAAAAAGTGTGTGGTGTGTAAGAGTTGGTGGTTGATACTGTAAAATGACTGAATGATGGTTCAGTAATTTGTCAGTAAGTGGTTAAGATATGTGAGTTAAGATTTTACGCACCATTTTCTGTATTCAGTGGGCAATATAATAAGTACATAAAACATCAACTAGATGGCGTGCTTGTTAACGAACGGATTGTGGCGCTGAAGTATGATTATTGATTATGTCTACCGGGACAAAACACAGGTTGTATGAAATTTTAGGCTATTTGTATTGACAAATCCAGCCTTAACGTTAATGAATGGATACATTTTACCTTTTAATTTTTTGTTGCGAACCAATTTTCTTCTTTAGTTTAAAATAACTTTAACTAGGCCTAATGTTTTGTGAAATATAGAAATTTCATGATAAAACGGAATTCCTGATTTGTATCATGTTTTAAATGCATATTGTTATTTATGCTTATTTTAATTTACTTGCATAAAGCCTACATTTAACCTACATTAGGCCTAAGTAGCCTATTGTATGTGAATATGTTAAGTGACTGACACTGACTGTATGAAGAAATATATGCAATGTGTAAACTGCAAAAAGCTCAGTGACACTTAGCGGTCTTTAATCTGGTCTTTATTAGAAATACTTCAGAAGACTACATGACTGATGATAATGCAAAACCTGTCAGGATTGTGCTTCATATTTAAATGCAAACGAGGACTGATGCAGTCTTGCAGATATAAAAAGTTGTTGTCTCTACTAATTGTGGTACAACACAATGTGCGCCTAACTAGGCAGTATTTCAAAGTAAAACACATGGTGATTACTTAGCCTACTGTAAATACAAGCACGACGATTTACTCTAATGTCAACGTATAATACATTGTTTCAATTCAAAACTAATATCAAGATGTTTTATTTTGTGTATAGTTTATTTTATCTTACATTGTAAAAAACCCTGCAAAATTCAGTTCAGAATCAGTTGATGTCGTCACTATAGCAGGGCCGGGGCTAGTTGTCACACTTTTTACTCTTTAGTGAATATTTGTCACTTGAGGTTTATTTTAGAAAGTCAGGCACATACCTTAAAGTTTTTCCACTGTTGTTTTAGTTTGTAGATTAGAGTCAAAGTCCCTTTAAGGCAAGTCATGTCACTCGGCGGCCATCTTTGAAACGCCTCTCGGGCATGCAAGTGCAGCTCCTATCTCTTTGAATGGGGAAACATCAAATTCAACAAAACTGTTCGCCAAGTTTACGATTAAATTTCATATTTGAAATCACCGATTAAATCTGACAGACAGTGCGCTTGCGCAGTCCTAAGCGCGCGTCCCAGAACACTGACTGTTTCTATAGCAACCGGGACTTCTAACGGCCGCTGCAGTGACGCGTTGACTTTACCCATTAGCAATTGGCTCTTTTACTCAGAAGGCGGGGCTTCGTTAGATAGAGCGGCCATATTGATCGTTGCATTTTTCCCCCATTCAAAACTATAGGAGTGACACGTCTTGGGTTTTCTATAGTCTTTGTTAGAATTCAACCAACAGACACAAGTTCTGGAGAAAATAAGTAGTTGGGTGATTGAGCAAACTGAGATAGCCCTTGTGTCATCTTCACTGTGTGACAACCAGCCCCGGTGTGTCTTTAGTGCTTCTCTCAGACAAACTCCCCGCTCGACTTGAGCTCGGGACACAGTTTGGCTTCGAGGTCCTCGATCTTGATGGACTCGACGTCTTTCCCGCTGCTGAGGCTGGCGGCGCGCGTGATCTTCGTCAGCGTGTCCTCGTAGGGCGGCGGGAGGTAAACCATGAGCAAAACCCCGTCAGACATGTCCGAGCTCGTGCTGTTCAGCCGCTCCGCGTTCCCGGTGAGCGACGACAGAATCTCGGCGTTGCGCTCCGGGTCCTGCAGGTCCAGCGCGATGATGTTGGCAAGTCCGAGCTTGTTCTGCCAGAACCTCCGGTAAAGAAGGACAAACGCGGCACCGAACACGAGGAGCGTGACGAGCGGGAGAACGATGTACAGGATAAGCTCTGATTTCCTGTCGCTTTCGTTCAAAAGCTCATTCCAGTGGTAACCCTATAGGGATGTAAAGGACATCATCGGTTACTTGAGCTCTTAAATGTGAACATTTGTATTTGAAGGCCTGTTTAGTCCTTCTTATCTGGTTTAAACTGGTCTTCGAATGGTCAACACTGAACAAGTGGTAGGATAACAGTTCAGCCTAACTAATTAGGATTAAATGGGTTAGAAATAAGGTAAAAATTACTTTTTACAACTTATTTACCAACAAACTCTCATGGCAATTCATAACTATGTTATGTTTTTGCAAATTGGTGATTGATTCGTTTGAATTTGTGCAATCTCATTTGTACATATTTGTAAGATCTGCTTACTCTCCGCTGACGGTTAGGTTGAGGAATGGACCTTGCTTTTTTTTTTTTTTTTTTTTTTTTTTTTTGCACATTTTTTCTCGTGATTCTCATTTTTTCCTTCCAAAGTAAAAGTCCCTTTTGACTCACTTAAAATCATTCATGTACTATGGCACTGCTGGTTACCCAGCATGCTTTGCACCTGCAGTCAAATCAGAGTCATTCTGATCTAATTCAATAAGACTATAAAAGAGGATTTAGGGGGATTCATAGTTAACCTTTTAAAAAACCTATTAATGTAAGTTTTTTTTTTAATTCATGCACAATTGCCATCTTATAAAATAGTTATGTTTTCTGATGAGATCAGGTTGGTTTTACTGGACGGCCAGCGGGTTTCACAGCTGAAAAGTGCCCAAAACCCTTTAAAACCAGATCAGACCAGGCTGGGAGAAGAACTACTACAGTAACCAACTGTTTTTAGTAGTTAGATAACATCTAAATGTATAAAACTATGAAAGGGATAATATGATGAAAGGGAAGACTGATCTTTTCGCAAATCTCATATAAGACACTTTTCCAAGCCCAACTTTTTATCCTCTGTCTAATTCATGAGAAACTCATGTACTGGTGCTTTAAAGCACCAAGAAACCAAAAGAATGATTAAAACAACATTTTTAAGTCTTAAAAGAGCCATATCAAGACTACAGTGATAAGTGGTCTTGAAAATAAGAAAGTTCTTTGCACAATTTCTGCACAGACCTGGACGATGACATTACTGAATCAACAATGACTTGAACTGATAAACACTGTTTTCTATTGTCCTCTTGCATTATCACCACACGTTTTTCCTGTTTAACCCTGTAAAGCTGCTTTGACACAATCTGTATTGTATAAAGCGCTACATAAATAAAGGTGACTTGACTTGACTGAACCTATATGCAACATATCCTTGGATGGATCCAGTATCTTCTCAAATGGCCTTATCCTGCAACTTCTTTCAGTAAAAGTTTCTTTAACCTTCAAAAACACAAGTGCAACTTGCAATAAAGTAAAGCAGCCATTCTTTAATAAATGCAGCTGTTTTCTAATCCAGAACCAGCGTGTCCACCCTGACTGGACTGCGTCCCAAAATCTAGTGCTTCTCCAACCGTTTTACAAACACTAATCACATAATGCTGCTTTTCAGCTAGATTAGATATTTTGGTCCTTTAAACCCCTTTGTTTATGCCAAACCACTGTGTCACCTCAAACGAACCCTTGTGGAGATCACAACTGGAACTTCAGATCATCACAGCTTCAAAATGTAACTTTAAGTTTGACTGCAACTTTAATATAGTTTGATTCCCACATGAAGTCAATGACTGAAGCCAAAACATCCTAAAAATAAAAGGCCCAGAATGGTTCTTCTACGACATGGCCACCTTTTTGGAACCTATATTTTTAATAGTGTAAGGAACTGTACTGGTCTAATCTTCTGTTAATTTCCATAACCTCATCTTGGATCATAATGACTTTCATCTTGAATGGGATTGATCACTAACCTGTAGTAGTTGTTCTGCAGTAGGCGGCGATGGGGACCCAGACACCCAGTCATCTCTTCCAGCAGGTCCAAACTTTATCCAGCTGCTGTCCAGCAATCGTCGCATTCTGCCGCTGACAGAAGAGCGTCGGCTGATGAAGGATGAGAGAGACAGACCAGCATCCGTCTAAAGAGCGCAGCAGGATAACAGCTGCATCTTGCGTGTGTTAAGTACTGTCTCACATGCTCGCACATGCAGATCAGTGGAAATCAGGCCAGCGGTCAGCCAATGGCGCGAGGCGAAAGAAGACCCGAAAGGCAGTCATTTGGGGATTTGTGATGCGCAGAGAGGATAGAGAGGATGGAGCTGTCAATCAAACGAGTGCTGCTGCGGTTTGCGATGGGCAGGGATTTCTTTTGCATTCAGAGCGGCACGTGAACATCTAGGAATGCTTCAGTTCAGACAGCTGTTGCTTTATGTTATACTTCTTTACTTTGGAGAAACTTAACCCACCCTGTAACCCTTTATAGTAGTCAGAAAAATCATTTTGTTGAGCCTTTAGACAAAATATAAAAAAAAAATAATAATAAAAAAAAGTTTGCATCAGATTTGAAATATCAGGCATTCATGATTCATGTACTATTATATAGTGAGAATATTGAGCTCATGCTCAAGGAGGAAAAAGCACCTACATTTTATTCAGATGCCCAAATTGAGCAAAAATATGCAATTTGGTGCATTTGGCTGATATTTATATGGCCAAAAATTCAGAAAT